AAATAGATATTTTTTCAGCTCGATCGCCGGATATTCGAGTTACAAAGTGTTCGAATATTTTATTCTAAGATTATTCTTTCTCAAACATAATAATATTCATGACCATGCAAGCTACTACTACAAGTGCATTTTTCAGAAACTTCGTCACCTACAGAGTTTTGCTATAGAACAAAGCAGGTTATGTACATAGAATTATGCTCGCTACGCTCACATGCAATAGCATAAGGTCATCTGATTGATGAGCAGAATTGCAGAAAATTTTCTATTCGCATAAATAAGGAAAACATAATTATATCGATCATGGAGTTTGGAGAATGAAATGTTTGTGGCACGATGTGCCCTAACCTCTACTACTTTCTACTCCACTATTTGCAATGATTGTCAAATCGATTAGATTTGCAGACAAGTACGGCGATAAATGGTATATTTGGGCGACACATCTTCCCACAGTCAGTGGCATATCCCAAATGTGTATATACAACTTGAATTTTTCATGTTGCACCGCCAAAAATATATAAAACTTTCATTAAATTCTCAGCATAACGGACGAAAATTGATTAGCAAGATATAGACCTAAAAGCTACCATCTTTCAAGTGCGTTTGGAGGGTTCAAGACCGTAGCATTAATCAAGTTGTATCACAATCATTTATAATCTTGATACAATACCATCGAGCTGACAGATAGTTGATGCACTTTAATGTTCTGTTGAAAAACGGAGGTTCGAGTTTGCAGCTATTATTTCCCATGATAGTATATATAAGATATGATAGTAGGAAATATCGCGCCCGACCACTCTTACAAGTGAAAGCTTTAATGATCGTGTGTTTTCTCTGTTTAAACTACATAAGACACAGATTTGACTGATCTGCTCAAAGTTATTACAGCTGTATTGAACATGAAAGACGGCGTGCGGACAAAAAAAGAAGGATTTTGAGTTTTTAAGATCTAAGAGCCCACTCCCTGACTAGGTTAGTCCCCAGATCCAGACAAACACTTAGCCTGAACGAGAAACTTGCTTCATAGGTCAATGCGCTCTTATAGGTCACTTCATCTCAGTGATTTCCTCCTCAGCACCCTCCTGTTCGGCTTTTCCCTAAGGCAGTGATCACAGCGAGAAAAGCATGCGACCATTTGAGGAACATCTGTCGAAATTTGAATGCCCCTCCTTCACTCATCCTTGTCGATCAAAACACGGG